CCGCGCTCCATGGGGCTGCAGGGCTGGTGCCGCGCGGGGGCTGGGCTGCGTCCCACGGTGAGGGGTCGGATCTCCTTCGTACCCACGGGAGCCTATTAAAAAAGTAAAAAAACCAACCAAAGCGCACACACACATACATTTTGCTCTTTCCTTCAGTGACAGCAGGATTTCAGCCCCAGACTTAGGGAGCTTTTGGAGGGTGCTGTTGGGGGTACTCCCGGGATCAGCTATGCAGAGCCAACCATGAGCAGGGTGGTCTCACCGCGCTGGGGCAATGCAGGCTCAGGAGCTCCAATATCGCTAACGAGCTCCCATCTGAAGAAAGCTGTTCGCTGACGACGTGCTTGAGCTGAGAGTAGACCAGGCGCAATCTCCTCCACTCTGGGTTATTTGCCCCTGGGAAGGGCCTTCTGCAGAACATCGTTGTGCAATAGGGTGCCGTAGAATTTGATTAATCTGGTTGTGGTAAATATGGAGGCTGGTCTGGAAGAAATACAGAAAAGTGCAAGTGCTGGGGAGCAGAGCCAAGCCAACGCCTCTGACAGGGACAAAATAATGCAGTAGTTGGTCTTGAGACGCCTCCTTTAGCACTTTCTCCAGTAGAGAAACACAATTGTATCTCTCTCACTCACTGCTGCTAAAGTGCAACTAATTACAACCCTCCTTGCTTCCCAACAGGTCCTCATTAATAGCCTGTCTATATTTCATGCGATATCGATTTTTAAATGTGAATTCTTGCCAGCTGACGCAGGGAGACTGCAGGAACCATTCCTAGAGGATTATGTACCACAGTCTTCTGGATGTGCAGGCAACCTTTGGGGTTTCCTTTAGTCCTTGGCTCCTCCAGAAATCAGTTTTGCTTCTGCATTTGTCAGATGCCCACCCAGCCCACCAGCCCCCCCAGGGAGGGTAACTTCACCTCCACACTGGGACAGAAATTCCCAGGCTGGGGACAGAGGCTCAGCCCATGGGCAGAGGAGCCTTTTGGCTCTCGCCACGGCACGTACAGGGGCCACAAGCCGTGATCACCAGGTACCTGCCAGTGGTCCCCAAAACCACACCAAGCCTATGCCGGGAGGAGCAGGCACTGTGCGATATGGCAGCTACAGCAGTTCATGTAGCAAACCCACAGAGCCCATGGGGAGCAACAACCCCACAAAATCCTTTCTTCCCCAGGGACCGGTGGCTCTAGGTCACTTTTGGGGGGCTGGGGACAATGTTTCACCTTGGCTGCAGTAATGTGCGTTCCCAGCCTCCAGGGAAGCCGCTGCCGCTCACGTTGAAGCTCATTGTGTCTCGTTCACGCTCCCAGCTCCACTCTGCAGGGAAAGGGAGGGAAGGATGAATTTTTCCCCTCTGATATCACTTTAGTTGTTTCCTGGATATTATTAGGAAACTCAAACCAAAACCAAACCCTGGGGAACTTGTCCAGATCGGAGCACCTCAATGAGAATAAAAAGGGTGATTCTTGCCAACACTGGAAGAGACACAAAGACCAACACCAGCAAAAACTTAATGAGCTCCCACCCCTGCAGTCCTTGTAGGTTGTAATTAGTCTAAAGCATGATCATTAGCGACCAGAACCTTGCTTTGTGCCCGCATCTGCAAACACACATTCGCTTCCTTACGCTCAACTTGCAGAGGACCTGTGGAGTTTGTAGCTTCAAGGAAGCAAAGTCAGGATGCAGCTCCTACGATCGACTGATGTCTAGTGAAATCCAGAGACTAATTCAAAAGAAAAAGCATTACATTTTTAATGCATTCCTTTTCTGGTTTAAAGTCTGTTCCCTTTGGGATTTTCCACTTTCTTGAGAACTCTTGGTTTAAATGTAAGCCTCTAATATTTCTCCCAGCCCCAACCCAACATAACAGAGCCCTGTGCAGGGCTGTGAGCATCTTCCTACAGATGTGCCCGTGGTCTCTGGCCCCCACCTTGCCCCCTGTCCCCAGCACCCTCCCCAGTCCCCTTCCCCTCTGGTTTCACACCAGGTACCTTCGCTCCCTCCCACGAGTCCCACCTCCCCGGCAGCACCGGGTGCCCATACCAGGTTCAGACAGCACCCTGCTCCCCAGCGTGTCTCGGCCAGCCCAGTCACGCGTCAAGCACAGTAATGTTAACCCCTTTAAGTCATATTCAATTACAGTTATTCTGGATCAATATTTGTTAACTTACTCTTTATTTTCTCTCCCTTTCCTACACTCCCCTTTCACCTTAACACATTGCTTCAGATTGTCCTCATTAATTTGAGCTGACACCTCCGCACCTTTACTTTGACATCAGATTGGGGTGTTCATAAAACAGGACTGGAGTAGCTTTGACATTATCTTGACATGATAACACGGTATTTGCAGCTTTCCACTGACATTTTTTTAACCATTGTTTTGACATTCAGGTACTGTCACACTCCTCAGTTTGACATCGCAATTGTAATGTCATCTCCACAGTGGCCTCTGCATTGACATTATCATCAAATTAGCTTTACGAGCAGCTGAAATATCAAAGGGAAGGAGAGAGGCTGGCCCCAGCCTAGGCAAGCCGGGTTCAGGGCGACAGAAGTTACTTCCAAACGAAGGAAAGGATGTGGACTATAAGTGTTGAGAAAAAGCTGGATGGTGGGAAAGGAAGTGAGCACTCGAGAGGTTTTACATTAGGAAAAAAATAGGAAAAAGGCACAAACAAACAAAAAAAGGGCTATTCAGAATACTTCAGGTTAAATAAAAAATAATTATAATAAAAATAAACCAGAAAATAAATAAGTCTGCTTTTTTGCCACTCTCTGCAGGCCGCAGCGCTCGGCTCTGGAGGGACATCCCACTCCGAGCTCCTTGCAGAGGCTGCCATACCATAAGCTGAAGGCGTGGGCGTGCAGCCTGTGAGCCCTGGGGCTGTTACACTATTTAGGATCAGCCTGAACTCAGGCCTGACGCTATTATAAACACAGATGTGTTTATAACGTAGCTGAAAAGTTAATCATCCTATTAATGCCTATTTCTGGGCATGCTGCAAGTCAAGAGATTACAGCCTGTGAACAGTGGCTGGCCGCCCGGTCGGCTCGTGGGAATCCAAAACAAACCCAGTGGGACGGGGCGGAAAGCTGAGCTCTGCCAGGCTCTCCTCTCCTATGTGCATTAATAGCCTCCCGCTGCGCCGGCTGACACAGCCCAGCAGCTGCCTGCGGCCGCTCCCCGGGCAGCGCGGGGCTGACATTTGCAAACGCGCAGATGCGCCAGGTTTTCGGGAGACCTCGCGAGCGCCGGTCCGGAGCGGGATGGACGAGAGCAAACCCCTGAAGGTCCGGCTGACGTTCTCCGTGATCCTGGTTGGCATCTCGCTCCTCTTTGCAGCCGTAGTGACTGACCACTGGGCCGTACTGAGCCCCAGAGCGGCTAACGCCACCTGCTGCGCCAGGTTTTCGGGAGACCTCGCGAGCGCCGGTCCGGAGCGGGATGGACGAGAGCAAACCCCTGAAGGTCCGGCTGACGTTCTCCGTGATCCTGGTTGGCATCTCGCTCCTCTTTGCAGCCGTAGTGACTGACCACTGGGCCGTACTGAGCCCCAGAGCGGCTAACGCCACCTGCGCACGGACTCTGTACAAAGCGGATTGTTATGCAGGAGCAAGGTCCCAAAGGGAAGGGCTGTGGGCCGATAAGCCTGCCAGGAGGTAGGTGAGCACCCACCGATGCATGGGAGACAGCAGCAGGCTGTCATGCCAGGCTTTGCTTAGGACGCTGCAGGATGCGGCAGAAGGAAAAATAGGGTCCGTGTTCCCGTGGCACTTCATTTGGCATGGGGCTGCATGGGGCTGCTTTCATGTTGGTCTGCACACACACCCCGTCGTCATCTCTCTTGCTGTAAGCGCACGCTGTGTTGCCTTGCACGTCTGTTTGTGACCATATTTGAGCCTCCTGTGAAACGACAGTGGCGGGGAGAAAACGGTGGAAATCGCAGAGTGAAACTGGGAGAGAGGAAGTTCTGCTGATATCAGCCAAGGGTCCCGCAGCACCCAGGCACACTGAGGGCAGCAGCCAAGGAAGAGGATTTACGGGTCCACCATACGTAGCTGGATCTTTAGGATTTCCAGATTCATATAGCTACGGAGGAACGTGGCTGCTGGTGGCTGGCATTAAGTTATCTCTGAGCTATTGCAGTAACAACCGTTCCTCAGGGCCGGGAGGAACAGGGACCTGCAGTATGCTTTGCCAACTTCCAAAAAAAAAAAAAAAAAAAGTCATAAACTGGGTTTGAAGCAATTTCTCAATGACTTACTGAGCCTCCTCGCCTCTTGGTGGAGGCAGCCTGGTCCCACACACGTCTCCGTCACGGGTTCCTCCAGTGCAATCGATAGGGAGGGCGGCAGGGGAGTGGGTACGGCTGCTTTCCGGGAAGACCATTACATTCCCATGGTAAAAGGAGCTCATTATGTTTTTGCTGATCGCAAAGTCAGCAACATTCGTACTGCATGCACTAATACACTCCCTCCGTGACCGAGCTGCGCTGCTTTTTTAGAAGGCTCGTAGGGCACTGGATGCGTTCCAGAACAGAAATAACAGGATTGCCTTCATGTTAGACTCGCTGCTTGAAATGAAATATGTATGTTAACACATACTTGAAAATTTCCTGTGAAAAATCTTACTGCCTGGGCTTACTGTATATTCCCTGTATTACTGCAATTCTTTATCTCCGGCCAAATTACATGTTCTGAGGAGAGGAGCTCAGCCTCGGCGTTCGGATCTGCCTCAAACCAAATTTGGGAGTGTGTCATCCGTATGCTTAATGTCTCTCACGAAGGTACTTATGTGCCTAGAAACATGTTCCTCACTGTACAGCTTTCCTTGCACGCGGAGGAAAACCCCCACAAAAGGAAAACCAATAGAAATTGGCGGATAAACACCAGAATTGCACAACTGCAGGGTAAATATAAAACTCATAAATATCCAGCTGTCTGCAAAAAGCAGATTCGCAGGCAGGGCAGCACGAAAGCAGCTCCTATCTTTGACAGACATCAGCATGTGCTTGCGTGGGCATTGAATCACGTCCCAGCGCCGCCGTTCTGCCAGGCGCAGCAAACAGCCAGGTGGCCATGAAGGGGCCAAGCCACCCGCCCCACCCCAGAGGTGGTTTTCCAGTTTTTAAAGATATTTGGGAATTTGGATGACATCCTGCATCGTAATCAGCATCCGAGGTTTCAAAGGGCGACATTCGCGGCTCAATTATAATATAAATATTTTAATCCCCATTTTACTCACACCAGGAGCACAGCGTGGGGCGGAGGGGGAGAGCACAGCCCCCGCGGATCCGGGCTGCTAAACGATGCCGCATCCGCACGGCTCACGTTAGGTTGATTTCGCACTTTTGGGAAGAGATGTCGGCAGGGAAACACCGGGGCCGGGAAACCTGCAGCAGTTGAGCAAATGCGACTAAACAAACGTGCAGTAGAAGAGCAGGTGTGGGCACTGGTTTTCCTGAAAATCATGAGACATAACCAGACGTTACTGCCAGGACTGGAAAAGAGACATAAGAATTTATCACTGCATTAATAACCATTTACCAGTCACTCCCTGAGGAGGAAGTGGATGGCATGATTAACATTATATATTAGGTTTTGAGCTCAGCACAGTGCAAAACGGGGAGGATGACTTGGCTCGCAGTCCACAAAGCAGGGCTGTGATTTAGGCAGAGCTTTAAAATTTTACAGCGCTCTTCTGAGGATGTTGACAAATTGGAAAGGGTTCAGCATCCTGCTCTAAGAAATAAAAAGATCAGGGAGACGGCTGTTAAAACCAGGCAAATTCCGATTAATACTGAGACATTTTTAACTGTGGTCAGTGGGCACTGGGGCAGTTTACTACTGGCTGTAAACTGAGTTTGCCTTCACTGCCAGTAAGTCCAGCGCAGGCGTTGTCCTACAAAGTGGGCTCTTGTGTGCCTGCACGCTGGGCGGAGCGGGGATGCTCTACAGTCTGCGTGTGCTGCCAGCAGGTTAAATAGGTCCTTGTAAATATGGGAACCTGAGCTCAGGCGACCGGAGAGGAAAAGTGCTCGAGCAAATGGGTTATCGGCAGGGCTCTCTTGTTCCCCGTGTCCATATAGGAGACTCACTCTGCAAGACTTGTATGAAATTAAACTATTTGGCGTTGCCATCTCCAAAACTCAGTGCATGTCAAAGGCCTTCCCCTGGCTTGTTGGCCAGGTCAGAGCCCAAGGGCTGGCCCCCTCCACCGCTCAGCCCTCACCTTAACACCTCCTCTAATCACAGCAGCAGGTCCTGTCTCCCAAACTTAACACGAGTGGAAACCTTACATTAAACCCAGGTTTTTCTAACCATCCGGCCTGCCACAAGACCCCGCGTGCTAGTGTCCATCTGAGGTTCAAGAGCAAGGTGGGCTCCAGCCCCTCCCCAGCCCGTCACTCCAGCGCTCACGGGTGGCAGCTGCCACCTGAAACTCTGCGTGCTCCAAACACCTTGTGGCCTCTCTGCCCTTTCTTCCCCCATGAGGTCTCCATATGGCAGACCCCCACATTTCAACCATAGCTCAATGCGATTGCATTTTGACTGCATCCCACGGCTGCAGTAGCTGCCGTCCAGCCCCGTGGTGGTGAGCAGCAGGAGACGTTGGCTCTGCATGAGTAGAGGAAAGATGAATTGGTCCATTTGCCCCCACACAGTGGTCATCCAGGAATGGTGAATATGAAAGGAGGGGACCAGGAAGGCTGCAAGGGGGAGGACACTGTGTGATAAACCACGTGTTACAACCCTGAAGTTCACGTGAGCTTTGATGACCCCAGAGCCCCTGGACTGCTCCCATCAGCACGCTGAGGTGACCTCATGGCAGAGATAATGCAACTAAGGGTGGAGAGAAATGAAGATTGCTACATGGTTTTCATCCATTATAAAGCCCATTTTAAATCCTATCCATTATGTAAATGTGGTGTGACACAAATGGGCTCTTCTCCTATTCATGATGGCACCAGAGAGGCATTGAACTGCTTCGGTTCTCTTGAATAGCAGGGAGCCTTGCTGAAACAGATATTCCCGGCTCAGCAGAGCACTGAAGCATCTTTAAACTGAAAACAATATATCACTTTACCAAAACCAACCTAGTTATATTTTCCAAGAATAAAAGCATTTTCCAAAAACACCTCCCCTAGAGCTAACCAACTTCAGTGATAACCCTTGTACCTTGACAGAGCTTTGCTATAAGCCACAAACACAGAGGCAGCTCCTTTTCCTGCAGACAAGTCCATCTCTAAAAGAAGGTTTTGTGTGCTCCCCCTCTGCTGAGCCTTCACAGACTGGAGGGTGGACCGGGCTGGTTTGGTTCACCTGCAATGGACACAAAGCTGTGCTGTGTCCCCCATCACACCGTGTCTGGATGGCTTCACCCTGGGCTTTGTACAGTCAGCACGCCTGGGGACTCCTTTGACTTCAGCCTTTTCGGAGAATTAATTAAAAGCCAAACCAAACAATCCAAGATGAGGTGTCCCAGTTTCATCCCATCTCCCTCCCCTCCCACAGGAGCCAAAGGATCCCCAAACTTGGATCACCAGACTGGATATTCAGCCTCAGGAGCGTCTCAGTCACTGGCAGAGGCATGCAACCTCCGCTCTGGGGCTCAAAATTTGCAATTTCAGTCATAGAGGTCTGAGTTCAAATACGTTTCCTCCAGTCATTTGCAAGGATAATAAAGAACAGGTCAGGAGATGCCAGAGCTGAACATTAACCTAGTCTCCAGCAAGGAGAAGCTGCAGATGAAATAAAAGTCAGCTTATAAAATTAAGTAGATAAGAGCGTCTCAAAGGAATCCCACTAACAGGCCCAAAAACACTGCTTTACAATTGCCTATCTCCTGGGAGAGAGAAAATAAATCCTCCTTGAGTCACTAACTCCAACATCTGCCATTTACATGACAGAAAAAACCCACAAGAACCAATAGGTAACATATAGAGCTCTGGTATTTTCTTGCCACTGGAAATTAATGCTGTAAATAAACACCAAAATGCATTATGTATTGCTGCGTGGTCCTGCACCCGGGACCTGGCTCAGACGACCTGCACTGTAGCAGCATGTCCTGGTCTGGACGCTGGAGAGGACCATAAAGTCCTCCTGGACTTTCTCCCAGCACCTCCTGGAAATCGGTGCTAACTGTTATTTAACGGAGGAGAGATGCTGGTGTTAACCAAGTGGCCCCTCGCTGCAGGCAGTGCCTGTATTTCATGCAATCTCGGCATGGTTTCCTGGTCTGATGGGAGTCCACCCTGGGGTGCAGGAGGGGTGCTGGGGCAGGCGCTCTCCAGCCCGGCTCAGCAGAATAGCGCAATCAGAGCTGGCGCCGCTCAATGCGTCTCCGCAATTGCACCCTTCCAGCCAAATTCCTGGCAAGCAACTGTTCTCCCAGCTCCACGCCCCTTCAAACCTTCAATTAAATCAGTTATAAATAGCAAGAACACCCTCCACCCTGCTGCTGCCAAAGCTTCGAGTCAGCAGGTCCTCATCAGACCCTTCCCCGTCCCGCTGAGACGCCGAGGCCGAGAGCCTCCCGTGTATCTACTGACAGCAATGGCATCTCGCTAGCTGACTCTCACTAGGCTGAGTATGAAACGACATTGTGGCCACTGAGACTCCGCGACCAACTTCCCTCCTTCCAGTACCCTCCCACCCACAACCTTGATCCCCGTTCACTTTATAACCCCTCTATAAATATCCCCTGTACGTGTCAGTGTGCTCACATAAAGTCCAGCTAGAGGAACTTCATAAAGTTCCCACTAACTCTGCTATCTTATCAAATTCACTTAGTAGACTGCTCTGATGGGAGTGAACTTTGGTAAAGCCAGGCTGAGTGAGAGCCTCTTCGCCCTTGACTTGCATGGCTTTGATCAGCCCCCCTTCCCTGGACAACTGTTTGCAGCTTCAGATAGCTTTTGTCTTTTTGGTCTAACAGCCAAAAAAAAGCCCTCAGTGTCCTTATTGTAGTAAAACACCGTGTGCTTTGCTGCATTGCAGCAGCCTCATCTCTGGGACCCCCATAGCGTGGTGACCTCAATAGAATCATAGAAGCGTTTAGGTTGGAAAAGACCTTTAAGATCATCAAATCCAACCATTAACCTAACACTACCAAGTCCACCACTAAACCAATGAAGGGTAATAATTAATTTCATGTTTCCTGGCTTGGTGGCTGGATTATTTTTTAATGAGTAAAACTAGGAATCATTGAGGTTGGAAAGGATCTCTAAGATCATCAGTCCAACCATCAACCCAACACCACCATGCCTACTAAACCATGTCCTGAGGTGCCACATCTACACGTTTTTGGACACTCGCCCCAAGCAGCAAGCTCCCCTGGGCTGCTCCTCCCTGCCAGCTGCTGCCACAGGGGCGGTGACCCTCCTATGGCCGATGCCACTACGGAGTGGGTTGGCAGTGGCAAGGGGAGGTGAGCTGAGATACCAGCTCAGCTGTGGGCACGGCAGGTCTCATCACCAGGAAACACAGACAGAATGAGAAAAATTATCTGTAATTCATGTCTTAAGTAGATGAGCAATCAGTGTGAAAAGCTCTTGGAGAGAAGAGACCACAAAAGATATCAGAGGCGGCTTCAGCCTTGTCCATGCCGGAGCCGGTGGCCTGGCATGTGCATGCCACTCATCTGCTCCCAAATAAAACAAATCCAACTCCAATTTCTCTGTGCTACCAAGGGTAGGGAACCTTAAAACTATTGCAAGTTTGATACATCAATAAAAAGCAAATTCGGTTTTACTATATTTTATCAGAGATTTCTAAGGACACTAAATATCCTTTTCTCCTTCAGAACACAACTGCTCCTACTTCAAGCACTTCACACCAGGACAGAGCTCGGAGATATTTGAAGTAACCACCCAGAAAGGTAAGAAAGGTCCTGAAAAATATTTTCCTAACTGAGGTGCACACAAGATCTAAGGTAAAGGGATCCCCAAAATGAGCGTTCAATCGTGGTTCCACTGAAAGCAGTAGAGGAATTTCTATCAGATACTACCAGCTGGGAAAAATGTAAAAAAAAAAAAATGCTCTGAACAAGGTCAAATGCCAGCTTCCTGGGAAGAAGAATTTTTATATATGATCACACTCGTAAGTGGGATTTTACTCAAAGTTGTCCCACAAATATATAACAATGTCAATACACATGAAAACTGCAAAAAGTCTTTTCAGCATAAAAATGACTTTACAACATTGGCGCTATCCACAACACTCAGAGCCTTTACCATCGAAGGAAGAAGACATTAATAAAATCTAAATGAATAAATCATACCCCAGGCAGAGTCTTGACCCTGAAAAGAAGTACAGAGACTCTGTGAAGACCATTAGGAATTTTATGCTTCATATTGATTTTATATGAAAGTCACATAAAAACCAGAGCTACCAATGGAAGGAAGGAACAGAGATCCTACAAAGACACGCACAGTCAGTGTTTACAGAGCATGGATTTTGAAAACAGTCTCTCACAGACAAATTTCACATTTCTAATAAGTCCCTGATAAAGCCAAATATTTTTAGCACTCATCTAATGCTCTCCTCTCTTTTTCTCACCCTCTCATTAAGGACAGATTCCTTTCTAGTTTGCCACACGACATATTTTGCTGTGGAGTAAATGAGCTGCTGATTACATTACACATATTAAACAATCTGCTTTGCTTCCAGTGGAAATGATAATGGTGGAAAACTGCACACAGGTTTTCTAAAAAAGCAGTTTCCTCAGACAGGAAAGACTGGGAATTTTAAGTAGATAGAAGAGTATGTATCCGAGCTGCCTGCTTTTGCTCATTTATATACTATCAGTTCCAGCCATCCGATGTTAAAAAGGTACCCAATGCCTTCTTAGTCATTTCAGAAAAAAATCAGGAAGAACTCCTTTTCTTTGAAGTAAAAGAAAAAGCTTAAGCCGCAGCAAAAGATTCTACATCGAAACAAACTCTTTCAGGCAGTTCTAGCACATGGTAAAGAGAAACATTAAGGAAATGATAATAAAACAGTGGTATGAAAAGCAATGAGAACAAAGAGTGAGCTGCTGTTCCCTTTCGCAGAAATAGCACGTTTTGATGGGAGCTAATTAGTAACAGGCAAAAAAATTCTTCATGATTTTGCCTGGGAGATATTTTTTTTTTAATGGCTTGAAAGGCAAATATCATCAGGCACTGTGATGTTCACGCATGGCTACATGTGTTAAATATTAAACTAATCTGAAAACGAATGCAATATGTAAATGAAGGCCTGAATTATTCAATTAGCAATTCTTCCCCTCCGTTCAGGCACTGAACTTGTGCTCGGGCTGGGGGAAGCGTCCAGCGCACATCTTCGCTGGCTTCGCAAAAACCAGGACATCTTACAGAGGGTTTAATCCTATGCCCTGAAGAAGCTGGGTTTTCACAGGGTGGGAAATCATTGCCTTAAAGGCAAGGGGAACAAAAAAAAAAAAAAAAAAAAGGCAAACACTTCACCTCTGGCCCCCTGCCTGCCTTGCCTGCTTGGATTTTGAGCCCTATGGAGCACACAGCTGTCTCTCTGCACCGGTACGACACCGGCACCATGCACGGGGGCCGTGTCGGGGCTCGGCAATACAGACCTGGAATAAAAATAGCATAGAGCTGTCTATTTACTCTGAGAGCAGAGCGCGGAGCGATGGAAGAAATGGGAGCGTGGAGCCCAGTGAGGCTTCAACAATAACATCTGTGCAGCAGAGCTAAACCAGCTCCGGCCCAGAGCTCCGTCAGGCCAATACGGGTGCCGTTTGCTCTTTCAGTAAGCGCTCAGAAAGTGTTTCCCCCTCCTGCTCTATTTGTATACCCTTTGCATTCAAAAGATACATGGCCAATACTTGTCCCTGCTTTTATTTGAGGAAAATATTCAGTTCACCGGAGTCACCTCTCCGCAGCAGCGGGAGGATATGTATTTCTCCGAGTCACCTGCTGCACAGTCACAACAGCTGATGGGAGCGTGCTCAAAATTTGTACGCGTTTGCATTTTGGGGTGTTTGTTTTGCTTTGGCAGAATACAGCATTTCAGCTGCAGCCATTGCCATCTTCAGCGTTGGCTTTGCAATCATCGGAACAATCTGCGTCCTCTTATCCTTCGGGAAGAAGAGAGACTATCTGCTGAAGCCAGCATCCATGTTCTACACCTTTGCAGGTAGGAGGCTCAGTGCTCACATACTTGCACTCAGTTCATAGGACAACATAGAGAAACAGATAGATCCTGGGAGGATGGAGACACTTCTAAAAATGCCCTGGAAGTGGCGTTTTCTTCCTAGCCGCAGTCAGGCTACAAGTCCCTGTGTGGTGCTCCAGCTGAAGAGCTCTGAAAATGTCCTGCTCAGCAAGCACTACCCAGCAGCTTGTCTGTATTTTCTCCAACTACCTTTAAAAGGGGCATTTCTAACATACTCAGTTCTGGCCCCAGCGTAAACCAGGGTTATACACTGTTCTGTCTCATTTATTAAGACTCAAACCAAGAAACAGTTGATCCAGGCCCAAAATACACAGCTGTCTCCCAAAAACGTGAAGACTGCGTTTTTACATGAGCTAGTAATACCTTGACATGCCACAGTGACGGGAAGACAGAGGTGCAAATTGTCACCTCAATAAAACCCTTCTTCAACCTTCGGAAAAGCTCCCTAGGGAAGGTAAATACTCCTCCACCACTTTGAGTTTCCCATCCAAGCCTGCCTAAAAAGATCACACGCAACAAGTCACCGGCTGGCTTGGACGGCCTGGGTTATAGCAGAGCTCTAAGCAGTTGCGAGCGTCGGTTCCTTCACTCAGTGACTCACCGGTGAATCTCACTGCAATTCCTCTATGCAAAAAGACAGATGAGGTGGTTAATTAAGGCTGAAAAATTGACAGCTGGTTATTCAACCCACCGCTCCCATCTTCCTTCAGGTCTCTGCATCATCATCTCTGTTGAAGTCATGAGACAATCCGTGAAGAGGATGATCGACAGCAAGGAGACAGTCTGGATCGAGTACAGTTACTCCTGGTCCTTCGCCTGTGCCTGCGCCTCCTTCGTCCTGCTCTTCATCTGCGGCATCATCCTCCTCCTGATCGCGCTGCCTCGCTTCCCCCAGAACCCCTGGGAGACCTGCATGGACGCAGAACCGGAGCACTGATGTTCCCAGCACCCGGGAAAAAAACCAGAAAGCGTTCTGAAAAGATTTGTATTTTTTAAAATATCTGGGTCTCACTATACAACGTGTACGCCATTAACTAAGTCGTTACTGAACCAAGGCATGTTCAATTGCAATTATTGCTTTGTTTCTTTTTTTTTTTTTTTTTTTTTTAAGAAAGCAGAAAGAGCATTCAGCACCAGCACGGGGCATGGGTGAACGGCGCTGCTCTGTGCCAATTTGGGGACGCCCTGTGCTGATGCAGTTGCGGGAAAATCTGTGTGCGAGACAGCTCGTGCCACAGAGAAGACAGCTTTCTCAGGGAGCAGATGTCTGGTGGAGTTGGGTTAGATCCGTGAGGGCTATCGGGCTTTTATGCCTCACTTGGTCAGAGAGAGACGGTGAGAAATTCTAGCTCCGTGAGGAGTCCGCTTCCCCGTTCATGCCGTACTCCTCTACCTCCCTAAGAAGGGTTAGCTCACCACTCTGGAGTAAGTTGGACATCTTTATGCTATTCTATTAAACTGTTAACATTTGGGGGAAAAAACCAACCAACCAACCAACCAAAAAAACATGAAAAGCTTTGCCTAGCATTGGGATAAAAATTCCTCCTACAAATTTACACCCTGCTGTTCCATTCTTTTGAATTACACATGAAAAACCCGCAAAATGTAGTTTTTGTTCGGCTTAAACTTTGATGGCAAAGTGAAGAAGTACTGAACATTAAGAGCAATATTTTCCTTTAATAAAAAGCATAATCTTCCAGTAGCATGACTTTCTGGAAAATGATTTTGAGGGATGAATCATTTGGCCCATCAAATTCTGCTAGGTCCAGAATGACAGTGTACTTCTGGATTGTATTTACCGTACGGAGCTCTCATTTGTTCCTCGGGAACGGGCTTTTTAAGAATCTGAGCTTTGCTCACTGCATATATATCTAAAACTACATTTTAGGATAATTCCTTCAAGGTAGCTGCCAAGAAGGAAAGGACTTAGACTGAAACACCCAGGAGAGTCAGCCCCAAAAATACTACAAAAGTGCATCGCTGTTTACGCATGCTTGAAGAAACACACGCCCGAGGCGTCGCTACGGGGGACGCTGTGGGGGCCGGTTGCGTTGCAGAGC